TGTCAGGTTGCTTATAAACTTAAGTCATTTCCCCTCCCTTCAGAATTAGATTTTCTTTATGACCTCCTTTGTCAGTAAGTGCTGCTCATTAAGAATGATTTGGCCATTTCATTCTACAACCTTATTTTTGCCTGCTCTGTGGATTTAACTGAAGGAAATCCCTTTGTGACTGAAATGATCAAGCTGGATCTCAATCATCAAATTATGTTTTCTCCTTCATTTTTTACCATGTATAAACCAAGTTGCTTCTTTCTGGCCACATTTAGGTAGGAACAAAACTAGGTATGAGTTCTTGACAACCAATTTGCAAAGAGATGTCTTTCCTCCAGCTTTTTGTTTGTTGCCTTGTTGATTTTTGAAAGGTCATGTGGAAAAGCTAGTGCAAGAAGCCTTAAAACTTCTCACATCCCAGAGGCTTCAAGTCTGGTTGTAGAGGGGAGAGTATCTGGATATAGCACAAGTCCAGTGGCTGAACATTGACAGCTTTTTATTTTGTCTCCTTGTTGCAGAGGCCAAGCGTTCAGACCTCTGCTCCGTCCTTAAAGGAGGAGACTTTATGTGTATAGGTAAAAATTGTGATGACAGGAGAGAGAAGGCAGAATAAAAGAGGAGGTAAATGTTGGAAAGGCAAAGTAGCCAGAATGCGATACGGCAGAGATGAGGTCAGATAAGCTAAACACAAAGCTAGGCTAAAACAGCTTAATGAAAAATACATAATTTATTGTTATTTATATATAATATATAAATGCATAATTTAATGTTACGGTGATACTGACTGTAGAAATGCAAGACATATTAGCTAGATCTAAAATACGGAGAATAAGGTCCTATTTAATTAATTTTTTTAAAAAATAATTTTTTTCCAACTGTCTTTCCCTTCATGTCTTCAGGGAATTTACCTGAAGAAGTTGTAATGCAGAACTCAGGATTCTCTTACTGTACAAGAGGTCACCAGATAAAAAGGACATGATTTAAAGCAAATGTGCCCTCTGAAACACTTGTTGCTCAGTCAGAATAGCAAAGCATAATGTAATTAAAACAACCGTCTGCAGCATTTATGTACAATCACATTGAGTAGCAAATACCTTTAATTTCATTGGAAGGTCAGGCACATGGGGAGGAAGGGTTGATGCTATCTCTGAGACAGCAGTAATCAAGGGCTGGCAGCTCAGCTTTGGAAGTGGAGCAGATTAGAAGTTCTTGGCAGTGATTTCCAAATGCTCAGGAGACTCAATGCAATCAGCAGCTTTGATGCTTTGGCCGGCTAGTTAAACAGTGACAAGCTGTAAACGTGACAAGGCAAGTGATCACCCCGTTACATGGTGGGCCTGGGGCACACGCTGCCTGCCTTCTGTCTCAGGAGCAAGGGGAGCCTCTACACTGATGAGCTCTTTGATGACACCTCGTGAATAACTTCCTAAATTGTGACAGAGCAGAGGAATTTATGTTGTTTGCACATTAACCACAACAGTGAGTACCAGAGAATGGAGATGAGGGCTTATACAGGGTTTTGCAACTAAGTGTAAATGACAGCACTCTAAGTCTACTCAACTTGAACCTCCTTTGCATTGTTTGTCCAAGAATGAGCACTGCCTCGTATGAGTGGTTCAGAGATCAGATTGAAAAGTGGATCTGCAGACATGCAACTCCCTAAAATTCAGTATTTAGTTATTCGTTTGTCCATTTATTTTCTGGGAAAAACTACTCATAGAGGCAGTTTCCTCAGCCGATCCCATAAGCGGCGATGGGACTTACATGTTTGAATGAAGCTACCTGGTTTGGCATCCTTTTGCGTGACACTACAGAAGTGATCGCTGCAGGCTGGCTGTAAAACCACATGTAACAAAGTTAGTCTAGAACAACCTCTCAGTGAGCCTCAGAAAGCAGAAGTGATGCCAGCAGCTGACTGTCACATTCTCCCTCAGGGTGAAAAGTTCAGCCCAGCTCAGTGAGAGCCTGGACAGAAGTTTTAGGAGGTACCAACAGCTTAATATGATTTCAGTGGGCAAGGTGGTTTCCAGTCTCTTCCTTCTTCTCCATTCCTTGTAGTTAATAATAATTAGTCCTAATTAATAATATATAAATGTATAAAATATAAGTTGAAATTAATCAGCAGCAATAAGGAATCATTGTCAAGAAGGCAGAAAGAAGACAGAAGATATTTTTAAACATCCAACTTGCCGCTGGGATTGTCTGCTTCATTTTATCTCACTATGAGTTTGAAAACATTCCCTTCATTAGATTTCCTAAGACCTTTTAGATATTAAAGCAAGACCCAGTGAAGTCAGGAGGAGTACTGGTATCAGTAGGATCACTACTGATCAGAGGAGAATTAGTATCGCCTTGATGGGCATGATCTGTTAACATTTGGGTGTTACGGCCGTTTGGTTTGTTGTTTCCAAGGTGTGATAATACCTTTGTTACTCGGGCTGGCGTGAGCACTCTCTGATGCAGTCAAGAATGTGTTAATCCCTCCAAGCAGTCAGATGCTGGTCAGGAGTTTGTCTTTCAGATGGAGAAGTAGCTGATTCCCACTGGCAGGCCAAATCACAGAATCACAGAATGTCAGGGGGTGGAAGGGACCTCAAAAGATCATCTTGTCCAGCCCCCCCACCAGAGCAGGATCACCTACAGGAGGTCACACAGGAACCCGTCCAGGCAGGATTTGAACGTCTCCAGAGAAGGAGACTCCACAACCTCCCTGGGCAGCCTGTTCCAGTGCTCTGTCACCCTCACAGTGAAAAAGTTTTTCCTTATGTTTACGTGGAACCTCCTGTGTTTCAGCTTGTATCCATTGCCCCTTGTCCTGTCACTGGACATCACTGAAAAGAGCCTGGCTCCGTCCTCCTGACACTCCCCCTTGACATATTTATAAACATTAATGAGGTCACCCCTCAGCCTCCTCTTCTCCAGGCTCAAGAGACCCAGCTCCTTCAGCCTTTCCTCATAAGGGAGATGTTCTACTCCTTTCATCATCTTTGTGGCTCTGCACTGAACTCTCTCAAGCAGTTCCCTGTCTCTCTTGAGCTGAGGGGCCCAGAACTGGACACAATATTCCAGATGTGGCCTCACCAGGGCAGAGTAGAGGGGCAGGAGGACCTCTCTCGACCTACTAGCTACTCCCCTTCTAATACACCCCAGGATGCCATTGGCCTTCATGGCCACCATCTAAAAGCAAATACTTCTGTATGTGAAATGAAGAGTTGCAGGTGTCAAGTACAGAAATCTGCTTTTTGCTGTCAAAGTAGGTTTTAGAAGACTTCCTCAAATACACAGCACTGTACCTCTTAGATTTGTAGGGGTGGCTGGAGCAAGAGCTCGGCTTTGCTTGGCCAGATTTGTAAGATTTGCTAAGGGTAGGATCTTAACTGGAGGGATGCATTCAAAGCAAAGTCCAAGCCGAGTGAATGTAGGTAGGATGCCTTGTCCAAGGTGTGGAAATATGTGGCAAAGGCGTTTGCCACCCACCTGAGCCAACACCTGTGGGAGAAGCATCTTGCTCCTCTTGAAGGAGATCTCCTGAATGGATGTAGTCCCTGTAATAAAGACAGAGGTTACCTTCAGTTCTTTGTTTCACCTGCTGGACACAGCTAAATTGAGTGCTTCGGTCACATGTAAGAAAGTTACATCTCAGGGGGCAAAAATAGGAAACAGTGCCAGCAAGGAGGTAGAAAGGTAGAAGACTGAGGCAACGCTTTTGAAGCACTGAAATATTAATGTAAAAAGCGAAATTTCAAGAAAGATTAGAGAACTTCTGAGGGGCTGAGCTTCTGTTTTAAGATACATGATGCAGATGAAAGAATAAAGGCAAATTAACTCAGAAAAAGTATTTGCCCTCTGTGTAGCTGTTAATTTCTGTCACACCCACTTTGATAGCAGGGGGCTGTTACTGTTTCATAATGGTTTTTAGCAGTTGGATTTGGGTAGGATGGGCCTTTATAAGTCTGATAAATAGTTTATTCAGCCAGCTTAAGCACAGCAGCAGATAAATATATTTCAAAGTGTGTGATTTGCACCAGCACCAAGGAAATGAGTCTAGGATTGCGGAGAGACAGACAGTAATCTGTGATATGTATTTATTTGAACTAGAGCCAAGCAATTCCCCTTAGTTAACTGTGTCTCAGCAGTTTTCTCCTGATAAAATAATTAATATGCAGATAGATGGCTGTTGCCCAGCCATCCTTCATTCTCTTTTTTTTTTTTTTTTTTGCATTGTTTATGGAGTTACTTCAAAAGCGATCCTGTCATATCCTTGGCAAATTGCTCACTCACTGTCTCCCTAATGGGCTCTTTTAGCAAGTTCTCTTTCCTTCACTGTGTATGGCCATAGTGTGCCTGCAGCGTAAAACTCTCACAGGATCACAGAATAGCTGAGGTTGGAAGGAACCTCTGAAGGTCACCTGGTCTGGTCCCCCCTGCTCAAGCAGGGCCAGCCAGAGCCAGTTATCCAGGACCACGTCCAGATGACTTGAATTATCTCCAAGGATGGAGACTCCACAGCCTCCTGGGGCAACCTGTGCTTGGTCACCCTCATGGTGGAAAAGTGTTTCTTGGTGTTCAGACGGAACCTCCTGTGTTTCAGTGGTTTGCCTCTGGTCATAAAGAATAAGGGAAGCAATGGACCACAGTTAACAGCTTTGTGCTACTGCCTTCTAGTCAGGAGAGCTTCTCGAAAACCCATAAGGAGAACTGTAAGACCTGAAGAACTCTTTACAGTCTCTCTAGTGGGCAGTTAGACCAATCCCTGCAGCTTCTGCCCTTTGCCTGGGTTGAGGTGGCAGAAGTTACAGAGAAGATGAGCTTTTGCTGTAAGCTGTGGTGCCTATTGGAAATTGGCTTATTTTCTGGTTATGCTATTGAAAAACGGTCTTGGGACCATATAGTACTAATCATCTTCTGTACCTAGAAACCTTACTGTGACCCAGAATAAGATTTGAAATAAAAATGCAGAAAGTGTTCACACAGGTTTTCTTTTCCTTTCCTTGTCAACCACAGGTAACGCAGGTAGTGAAAGAACAGATAATGAGAGCGCTCACGACCAAGCCTAGCTCCCTGGATCAGTTCAAGAGCAAACTTCAGAATCTCAGTTACACGGAAATACTGAAAATACGCCAGTCTGAAAGAATGAACCAGGAAGATTTCCAGTCTCGTCCGATTCTGTAAGTACTACCTAATCTCCCCACATGTTTTTTGTATGGAAGGATTATCAAATGTGAATGGCATTTGTGAGCTCTTCTGGGGAACCCCAAGGAGAAAAGCTGTCCAGGGAGCTGTGCTCAGAAGCAGTAGTGCAGCAGCTCATTGAAGTGCATTGTTTTCTTCTGCTGAGAATCATAACTTTTTCTTTGAGTTCAGTTAAACCAGATTTAACAAGTCCCTACAGGGTCTCACTTGGCTTATTCGTATCAAACAATGCTTTTATATTTCCTAGCTTTGTGTGATTGTGAACCTGGTTTTGGTGCTTGTAGTGACTTAAAAAAAAAAAAAGAAAACCACAGAAGAACAAACAGACAAAAAAACCCCACCACAACTTTGTCTTCTGTCCAAGGGCCTTTAAAAATTCTAGATGTCTCTTCTCTAAGCCAGATAGGGTGGAGCCCAGGAGAAGAAGAGGCAATACACACCGGCTCCACAACAGAGTGGTGTTGTGTAGACTGTCTTTGTTCATGGCATTATCTTTGGTGTTAGTGGCAGGCAGTTACTTACTTGTAAATGATAACATGCTGGCAGCTCGCCGATGGGATTCTCACTTCCTTGTTGCTTACTGCAAAGTATCAAATCCTAATATTGCTACCATAGCTCCTTCCTATTTCTCAGAATACCCTTTTTTCTGTTATGTGAAAATTGCAGGCTGTACTTGGCTCTGGACCAAGTCTGGGCTTGTGGCTGAGCTGATGGCAGAGGACAGACGCAGGCTCCACGGTGCACAAATGATGTGCTGAGAATAGCAGGAACTTTTTAATATCAGCAGACAAATGGTGAGGACACATCAGCTGAAATGTCATGAAGTCCCGACCTTGCTTCAAGTGGGACGGCTCATGTTTTTCTAAGTTTCCTTTTCAAAGCAAAGGTATAGAGAAGGGTTTGGACCAGAGCATTTGAGGATTCAGAAGCAGAACGTTCATTCTGATTTCTTTCAAAAGGATACAGATACTGAAGTACAAGCTCTGGGGGCACATTCCTCCAGGGGCAGCAGGGCAGCAGCGGAAGCATCAGCTAAATAGAATTACACACTTAAATTTTAATCGCACCAATGTGGATCAAAGAGGGAATGCTTCTTTTATGTTTTCACTGTATTAGAAGATTGGACCTAATGCCCAATTAGAACTGATGTCACTCATAGTAATACATCAATTAAAAAACTGCAAATGGTTCCAGTCAGTTTTGCATCATTATACTGCTCAGAAATCCCCTGCCAATCCCTTGCAACGTTTAGTGGTTCAAAGCCACCCAGTACTGCTAAGCTTCTCACCAAAGCTGCTCGTTTTCCCTGCTTTCCCTATGAGTCAACTGTTTAAGTATGATAGAGGTCAGCTATCTAAATTCTTTTGCACCATCGCCTGGCCTCGGGAAACTTGCCAGTGCCCTCTGCAAGCTCTTTATTTCCAATATTATCACTCCAGCTAGTGCTGCCACAGTGTGGAGTCTCCTTCCCCATTATGGAATGAGTAAAACAGCCAACACTGAGAGTTAAAAGCCACTGAAGTGTTGCCAGAGACTCATTTCAGATTCAGGACAAAGGCTAAGCCTAAAGGCTATAAAAGGCTAAGGAAATCGATAAGGTGTTTAAGCAATCACAACTGCATTTGCAGAGATTTAACTCTATGCATTTGCATTTTGATTGCATCCGTGATCACTTATTCTTGGCTGTGAAAAGAAATGGTTCTTTCATTTTACCCTTTGATTTGATTCCTTGTACTAAACTCTCTCAAATTGCATAGATGGCACAATTGATAGAAGTACAGAATCATGGCTTCATTGTACGAAGAGACTGTGAGTGAAGGGTGCAATCGTGGCTGTGCTGTATGTGTTAAAGCCTTGCAGATATACTAAAAAGGATTGTGCACAATGGTGAATGTAAAGTCTGGTTTAATTCTGCATGAGAATATGGCAATCAGGTGATAGGTTTTCCTGCCTTGAACACGATAGAGGTCTTTCTTTTGCTGTTCATTGTGTGAAACTGAGGTTGTAAGTTTTCAAGCTGCTGAGTGAGAGAAGCCTCAGATAAGTTGGATTTGAACGTTAGCTGCAAAGTGTTGCCTTAGATCCTCATGACTACAACAACCTTGATTTGCAAGGATTAAATGTTTCCTTTATATGAGCGTTGTGGTGTCACGTGAGGTGACTTTTTTTTCAATTTCTGCTTTTGATTAGGGAAAACAAAAAGTCCTTCAGAACAGAATCGATTCAAGATTCTGGGATCATTATTGGTCATTCAGACTGCCATTCCGCAGCGAAATGATGAAAGCATCACATTTTGACTGGCTGTGGAAGAAGGTGTCTAGGAATCCTTGACATGTTAAATGGCAACAGAGATGGGTTAATACTGGGTAAGGACCTAACATCCAAGTGGAGTTTTGCTGGTTAAAGATGAGTTAATGTCAGCTGGGAAGCCATCGCTAAGTCACATCTGTGTGAAAATCAGCAACATACTGGGAAATAGAGGGAGGGATGTGGATACCTCTCGGCTTTCTATCTTACAGGTTTCTCTGCAATGTTAGAAAGAGTCACTTATGCCTGCTCTGTGTGCCTGAGGTAATTAGGAGAGGGCATAGCTATAAGGCAAAAAGATAAAAGGGCAAAACACGTGAAAGCAGTTCTGGGATTACTCTTCAGTTGTGTTGTGATGATTTAAATGTCTGTAATATGCCCCATTGTGGAAGGAAAAGGGCTAAAAAGAGTCTTAACTATAAACTGAAAGGCAAAAGCTGAGGACAGATATAACTAGTGCTGAAGAACTGTATCATCTGAATAATTTAAAAATAATTTCTAGTGATTTTCAGTTTTGCCAGCAATTCAGGTCTGTTATTTTAAAAGCAAGTAACTGATGTCAGTATTGCCTGTAGTGTCGAGATCAGTGAGATCAGAAAATTAGCAATCATATATATTACTGTGTGGTTCCCTTAACTCTTTGTCTTACCAGCCCACTAACTTTTGCCATTCTTTATGTGACAGGAACACTGTAGGAAACTAATAGCAAATTTTAAAGCTACTGTCTCCTTAGACTTTCTGAGTTTGTTCTCTGTCTCTCTTTGCAAGGCATAAACTGTTAAGCTGATGTCATTTGAAGGACCATAAATAAAATTTTCACAGAATGGATTTACATTTTTGCTCTTCCTTTAGCTCATTGTTCCTGTCTGATTTTAAAATTAGGCAGAAGGACCTCTTTCTTGTACAGGGAATTATTTATTTTTTTAGACACTCCTGTCTTTAGACATTGACCCAGAGTAACTGAATTCACTTGCCTTCAGATGGCTTTCTGAAGGAAATACAAACATTCAAAGAAGCACATCTGTGTGCTGTGGTTTCTTCTGCCTCATTTCTGGTGGAATAGAAACTGTGACAGAGAGGAACAGGATCACCTTGCAAAAATGTATCTCGAGTCACCATATCTGAAAAGTAGCTGAAGCCCATACCAGTCAGAATAACCACAGAATCATAGAATTATTAAGGTTGGAAAAGATCTCTAAGATCATACAAGTTGAACCGTCAACCCGACACCACCATGACCACTAAATGTTTCAAAGTGCCATGTCTACACATTTTGTGAACACTTCCAGGGATGGCAACTCCACCGCTTCCCTGGGCAACCTGTTTCAATGTTTCACCATCCTTTCAGTAAATAATTTTTTCCTAATATCCATTCTAAACCTCCCCTGGACTTGTTCTCTAGGCCTTTCACCATGTGTTGACATGAGCTGCTGAGGTCAGTAAGTGCAGGCAGTAAGATGTAAGTGAGCTGGGTGACCCGTTCATTTTTGCTTTTTCAGTAGAGGCTCACAACTATGATGTTATGATACTTCTAACATGTATTTAATGATAATCACCCAATTTCTGAATTAAACTACCTAAATATCCAAACTGTTCGTAGCAGTCTTGAATGTTTTAAATCAGTCCAGCTGGAGATTAGGTCTGCAACCTGGACCACTGAGTAATCCACACTGTTTTACCACTGCTCCTGAGCTTCTGCTCAGGCTTTCACCTGAGAAATGGGGAAAAGCTCATCAGCTCAGTAAAGGCAAAACATTTATTCAAGCACAAGATTCCTTTAACCTCAATATTTAGCCATTCAGCATGTTGGTATCTTTGTTCCCAATGAGAAGACCACTGTGCTTGAAAATTATCCTAAAGGACAAATAATATATTTTATTATTTGTCACATTTTATTAATGGCCCATTTCTGTAGTTACAATGCTTCCTTGATTTTTGACCAGCTGGATTTTTACAGCTTGTAAATATGCAATGGGTTACTCATCAGGAACTCCAACCATTTTGTTAATACCTGGGGGGAAAGATGGCATTTTTGTTTTAAAGGCAGAGGCCTTCCAGTGATTTCAGCTGGGGTCTGGCAGGTATAGGATCCAAGTAAATGTAGAAATAAGCAGAGACTGGGCTCCCTAAGTTTTCAGGAGGAGAAATTTTTGTTGTCTCTACAGGATACCACAACTTTGCTTCCTTTTGATGATGATTTCTGGAACATACTGCCAGACAGAATGATTTTTGGTATTACCTAATTTGCACAGCAAGGCAAAATTATGGTTCTGACACACTTCATATTTTATGAATCCTCTGTGCATACAGTCCTTTTTTAATCTTACTAGGCTTGCTGTCGAGTTGATGTTTAAACCTGTCTTTTATGTATTTCTAATGAATCTAAGTGAGGATATAAATGATGAATTCAGACATCTGTGAATCCCTGTGATGGTGTACAAAATCAAACTTCAAATATTATGTCCATATATTTTCTACCTAGTTCTTGGCATGTTGAACTCTTATCAAAGTAAGATGTAGAAAATGGATTTTCTGAAGTATATGTAATATTATTTCTAAATGCACTGTGGGTTTCTGCTCTCCTGGGTGAGGGTAAAATTTGATCCTTGAGCAATCCCTAGTCATGGATTAGTCTTCCAAAAAATTCTGATAGTAATAAATTAATTGGATAGTGTGGAATTAAGAACAAGCATATAACACTGGTCGTTATTTTAGCTCATTGCTTGCTGGTTTTTATTGTTGTTTCACAATGTGTTTTAACCTTCTTGTGTTGTCCTAAAAAAGCTAGTAAAGCATACCAGGAGAGAATCATGCAACACAAGGTGACAGACCCTCAAATAAGCTTCACGCTTATTTGTGTTTAAGTGTTTCTATGAAGAAGGAACGTTATTTGCCGCAGAAAAACTTGTCGATGCATTATAGCGAGTGTTATTTTTAGATGAGTAAAGTAAGAAGTAAGTGACTTGCCTGAGTCATACACTGGTGTCGTAGCAGAGAGATGTCTGCAATGGAGATATCCTCACTCTCGTTCTTTGTTATAGAGATTTGGTTGTTTTTTTTCTGGAGCAGACTGAATTCTGACCTGGACCTGCCCATGACTGTTGTCCCCTTCAAACTCCTTGCAGTAACATCTGGTGAGAGTCTGTCTCAGAGGAAGGAGGATGCTCTTAGGTTGAATTTGACAAGTGTGTACTTTATGTCTTCCCAAGGGAACTAAAAGAGAAGATTCAGCCTGAGATCTTAGAACTGATCAAGCAGCAACGTCTCAATCGACTTGTGGAGGGCACCTGCTTTAGGAAACTCAACAGTCGGCGTCGGCAAGGTAAAGCTCAAGCTACCTAGTCTGGCCTTTTATTGTCACTTTTGTCTGAAAGCTGAGATGAGGAATACTACTTTTACTGGTGAAATCTTTCATTGTAGTGCTGTCTTGGCTGCTTTTAACAGTGGGCATCTGAATGCATCTGCTAGTTCCAGTTATGGTAGGATTTACTGTGTTTCCCTGGGGCTGGTTTTGGCTTTGTCACGCAGATCATCTGGAGCAAGTCCAGTATTTCACAAAAATCTCAGGCCTGCAGTCTTGCATTCTGAACTGAGTATTTCGATTCCTGCCTGGACGTCCAGGCTTCTCATTCATCTTAAACCAAAACCTCTGGCTCTGCAGGAATGAAACTTTGTGTAACCAGAATTTGAATCTTTGAGATTTGGACCACCTTTATATATGTGATGAGCTCATTCTGCACCCCTCCCTCTAGTACTGCCTGTCTTTGGGTTTTGTCTTATATTACTGTATACATTGAAGTATATTATGGTGTTTAAATATGCTTTTAAGAAGCCCTTGGATCGGTAGTTTGTGTACCTTCAGATGAATACTTGATTGACATGAGGAGATTATTTTCCCAATTTTATACATCATTGCTCAGTGCTAGATTTACAGCTCATTTATACAATCAAACTCTCTATGGTTCTTTTGCCCTCAGAGAGGCACACTTCTTTCTCTGGACAAAATAATGTGGACATAGTGTAAATTCAGCAGATTAATTAGAAGTTGTAACCAAAAATTTCCTTTTAAAGGCCTCATTTTATGAGGATTCAGACTGCCATTTGTTTTCCACTGCAAATACAATACAAAAGCTGAGAAAAAGAACTGAAAGGATCAATATTTGGGACCTTCAGATCAATTGGGGAAATCTGCTTTTTTCACAAAGAAAAGTATCCCTGCAATGCCTCCTTCCTTAGAGACAAGGAGGCAATTTTCCTTAGTGTAGGGAGGTTATTTTGGAAAATGTCAAAGCCTTTATGAAAGGATTGAGTTGCAGAAAAAATGTGATGGCAGCTTCATATCCTCTCTGCCAAGCCTACAAACACCTATGAAGCCCGCTGCACAGGGCTTAGGGAAAGAATATTAATGCTCCACTGTGACAGAATATTAATATTTCACTATGACTTTTCATACAGATATCATAGGGAGGCATGATATATGTGTTCCCTTCAGCAGCGTATTCACAGAGTGAAAGTAGCTGAAGGAATGCATAGTCTGGTTTGCCTATCAGTAGTGAGGGTTGTTTATTTTATTCCTCTCGGAGCCTTAATCCAAATGACTGAAATTCTAGGGAAGGAGCTGGGTTTGTGGCAAATGCTCTTTTGGCAGATTTCCAAGAGGAAGACAGACTGTTTATTTTATCTTAAACTGTTGTTAGTTCATGATTTATAGGATCAAAAGCCTTAGCAGGTATAAAATGACTCAACTTACGTGAGTGGAGTTGAAGTGGAAAATGAAAACTGAAAAGAAAACCCAAACAAAAAATGCAATCTTCTGGTCCACAGTTGAGAAGGCTGTTACGTATCATACCTCAGAGTGAATCATATAGTCCACCAGATTAATTGCTTTGATGTCATGTTTATACAGGGCCAAAAAAAGTTAACGATTCTTTGGAAATAAATAAAGCATGTGACTGTGCCTCAAAGATTATGTCTTCTCTGAAATCTCTTTTTGTCAGATGCAAGCCCATTTAGAGGGGCATGTTTCTGCATACCCTAAAAAGTTGTGTGTAATTTATGTTAGACTCTCTGTATTCCCTGAAGCAGAAGTGTAAATTATCCCCTGGGAGGGAGAAGACACGACCATTACTGAAGGTGGTGCATGAGGCCACAAGGACTAAACACCAGAAGAAGGTCTTTAGAAATCAGCCTTTAACCTACAGAGTCTCCTGTGCCCCAAGCAGAGAAAGCTCTAAGACCAGGGCTGCTGATGTCAAAGAACTAGGAAAGGAAGTAAAGTGAATGGAGGGCCAGGGGTGTAACTTATGATAATAAACATTGGGACAGTCAAGCTTTCAGATAATGCCTCTGAATGTCCTGATAAAAATAGTAAAGTCCCAAATTCCCAAGCATGTCTCCTGTCAGCCTTACCCCACCCTCCCCTCTCCTCTCACCTGCCCACTGCTCCCACTGAACTCACCACAGAGCATTACTGAGGCCCTCAAAGGGCCGTGGCCCATTCAAGTTGATACGGAGCTGAAATGGAGCTGGGGAACTCTGTGAGGCATCACGAGTTGCCTGTTATGGGACAACCTACTTGTAAGAGTAGTAAGATCAGGCAGATATTTTTACTATAGTGTGTACATAGCTTTTTTCCCCTTTCCTTGATTCTCTCTTTTTCCCCTGAGACAAGACTGGAACAAATGTCACAGATCTACGGATTGTACAAGAGCCTGAACATACTCTACACAGGAGAAGCTGAAAGCATTAAATTGCTCATTTAAAATAATTAACAGGCATTATCCCGTGATAAAGACTCCAGAGCAAACTCCTGTTAAGTCTGTTGTTTGAACATGTGGTAGGACACACATGGATAGTCATAGCAAGTTGAAAAAATTGACTTATGAAAAAAATTAACTTACAAAAAAATGAGCAGGGAGTTTACAGCCTCATACGGTCTTTAGAGAAGAGATGAAACACTTTCATATATACTTGGCATTGGAAAGCCTCCAATCCAAGAGGTGATTCTTTGGGGGGATGCTGAAGATTAAGCTGTGAGGTATCTGTAGTCAGATCTCTTCCTTTTGTGTTTCAGCACAGGATTATCATATCAGCAGGATCTCTCTGTAGCAGAAATTCAGAAATATCATTGTTGCTCCAGCAGGATCCTTAACACTTTCAAAGAGTGTATGGCCTTTCCCTTGCAAGGTCTCATAGGAGAACTGCAGCACTAACTCCTGGTTTTATTAAGCATTTTTAGTCAGCTGGAAACGAAAGAGCAAAATCTAACCTGCCCTCCTGGTCATTGTTCAACAGCAGATCATGAAGCTCTACAAATCCTCTCTTTGTTCCTTGACCATGGACATCAGCTGAAAGGAAGATCTATTCATCTCTCTTCTTCCTTAATTCCTAAAAGAAAGGGAGAGAAGACTAAAATGAGAGCCTGCAAAGCACTTTACATCCCCTAAAGTTATTATTTCCTGTAGGGCTAAGTAGTAGATAAAGGCATTTTATTGAGGATTATAGATACCTCTGATGCTGTCATCCAGGACATTTGTAGTTTATGTTGCTGGGTGCACTCTTGGAAGTAAATTCCCCTTTTAGCTATATAAAGATTATAGAGAAATTGCTTGTTACTGATGTGGTTTTGCAGTTAAGGATGAGGTTTCTTGAGCAGTAATTTTTTGGAAGGGAGGGAAAGCCTGGTGATACACACCATTAAATTAAAAAGACAAGGCACCATGGAAGTAAGCTGGAAAGAGAAATCAAGTGAAGACAGGTTTTCTGTCTCTTGCTAGGATAAGTACCTGATGCTTCTGAACAAGAATACACGCTTTGCTTTTTTTCTACCAAGCCTCTTTGCTACTGCTACTCCATCCCACCCTCCATAGCCCCATAAACAATAATATTCTGTGAGTGTGTGACTTGCTGAGAGGAACTGGATAACCAAATATGCTTCCAGCATTGCCACAGGTCAATTATTTGCCAGTCATTTGCAGGGCTTCCTGGCTTTCACTTGAGCAGTTAAAGCCAGGAACAGTGAAAATGTGTCACTGCAGTAGTGTTGGAGAAAGACAACACAGTGAAAGGGCAAGTCTGCCTACATAAATCTAAATTCTATGCAGATACATATGTTTTTACTGATATATTTAAAGGTGTGTTCCTGTTGCTAAATCCACGAGGAAGATTTTCTGTGAACAAAAAACTTCTTTAGTCATATGGGATATACCTTGGGATAAAATGTCTACTCTTGGACTTCTGTCCATGCATATCTGAGTTATTTTTTCCCCAGATTCTAACTATAGAGCACTTCTGTACTAAGGACAGCTCTTCTTTACCGGGGACAGCGTTGCTGAGGGCAATATGAGTCATTGGCCATTAATGCACTTGGAAACACGCTATTTGAATGGCCAAGCACTTTGTAGCCCACTAGCAAAATGTTCTGAGTCCTCCTATTTGGTCACAGTTTGAAATAATACTTTTCTAGCCAAATTGTAGCTGATTTTGATGTTTGGGATTTTTTTATTATTTTTTTTAACCTCATCTCTAACCTTTAACAATGTACTGAACAGACAGTTGCTCGGCTCCAGCTCTGCACGTACACACAGACGTGCGAGCTGTGGGCCATGACGTCTATTGAGAAATGCCTGTCCCATCTTTACAGCCTCTTCTGCTCTGTGGACTTGGGTTGAAGAGCTCTGGAGTGTTTGGACAGTAGTTTTTCTTTGGTTTATAAATACTGCATTATAATCGTGGTAGAAAAGAGCTTTTTCTTCTGCTTATTTTTTTGCCTCTTGTTTTGCTCTGTAATTAAGATTTCTTCACCCTTTTTGTCAGTGGAAGCAATTTAATAAAATTTTTACTTTGACTGCAGCATTATTTTACACACTGCTTCCCCGATAAAATTGTGTTCAGCGCCTGCATGACAGTAAAATAAAATGCATTTTATTCAAAACTCTTCCCCTTCAAGGCACTTAAGTGAGATATTGTCTGATAAACTGTTTGTAACATCATGTACCACTGAAAAAAACCACCTCAGCTGGTGAGGCTGAGGTGGTTATAGAAGCAAGGGTTACTTCCCATCACTAACGTGCTGATCACTGTCCCCGGCCTGGCTGGTGCAGTCATTTAGTGGCTGCAGCTGACGGAACCTCATTAGTTATATTTGTAGGTTTCATTTAAGGTTTCCCCTTTGCCAGGGTGGCTGTGGCACGGTGGCAGTTATTAGTGAGCCCACAGGAGAATAGAGATGGATGTGCTTCAAGCTACAGTCTCACTGTTAGTTCTTTAATTAACCTTGGATTATGGGGAGTTGCTATAAAAGGCTCCACAAGCCTTGAGAGCCATAAAGCCACCCCTTCCTAAAAACAAAGTAAGATGTTTTCACTGAGGGGGGTTTCCCACTTCTGTTGTCAGAGCAGGGTGTTGAAACAGAACCAAGGTTACCAAAACAGAGGCTAAAGAGCCAAACTATTCACACTCTTGCCAACGCCACCAGCCTCATTTGTGCTAAACTGGAAGTAATTCATTATTTGTTATGGGGGTTTTTTGAGTTGCATTGTCTTCATGTCATTGAGAAGGTAACAAGACCATGTTGGCTTTTATTAGGAAAAAATTACTGGTTTAATCTTGCAGTTGGAAAGGCATTTTCCTCTGTGCAGCCTAATAATCAATGAGGTTGCCGTTAAAGCCAGACGTGAAAGCCTCCTGCTAGTTACTGGAGGCTTTCCTTTAGGTGGGCAAGGGACATGATGGTCTACTGGCAGATTCAGTATAAATCTTTAGTTGCTGTGCATGCCCATGAGATAGATAACCAGAATCTCTCTCATTGCCACTTTGAGCCTTCGGCAGCAGTTTATGAGGTCTTCTGAAACCTTTCTATAGAAGGGGCTGCACAATCAGAAAGTTGTTTGAAGTCTGTGGGGCTTTTTGCCCCAGATATTTTTAGTGACTATGACAAAGCAGTTTAAAAAGGCACACTGAATACCACTTTTGCCATTCAAAGCCAAATTGCCTTTCTTTGTGTTTCATTGCATTTTAAAAGGCTGGCCAAGGAACTGGAGAGTGTCCTTTAGGAAGACGTTGGGTCCATGAAGCTAATATTTTACTAACAGAGCAAGAAGTCCTTCCTTTGCTCACATCCCAAAAGAACTCATATGGTGGTTCTGTAGCTTCTCCGGTGCTTCATCAAACTGTGGCTTCATTCGCTCCTGGTCATCACAGCACCATGGGGCTGTGTCAGTGCTGACATTTCCCCTAAATTGTCCCTTGAGTACTGCTTGGTTCAGCATCAGCGCTGCCAACAACAAGGGAAGGACAGAACCGGGGAAACCCTCTGGCCCTCTATGCAAACTTTTTAACAGCTCGCCTGGCTCTGAGCTTTTGGAGATTTATAGCTTGGTTGCAACAACGTTATGTGATCTATTTATTAAATAGAAAGTGGTCTGACAAAGAAGAGTCACCTCATTCTTGCCGTTTCAGGAAGTGAATTAGGAAGCACTGCCCTAGCATGGTGGCCAGGCTCTGCAAAGGTGATGTTCTTCCCAGGAGCTGGTTTAAACAAATATTCTTAAGGGGAATTATATCCTCTGAAGCAGGAGATGGCAGGAGATCTCCTAGGAAAGGGCAAAACACAAACTGGAGTGTGATGGCATGATCACACCTCTGTTTGTGATCATGCAAAGCACTGAATTGTCTGCAGGACAAGGGAGTTAATGTCTGCTTTTTAAATCTTTGCATGTTTATTATGTCCAGTCCCTCCACGAATATGGGGGTGTTCTCCCATGTCTATAAAAAGACCTGAGTCATAATTTTCGTTAAGTATGGGATATTTCAAATGTATCAGTTTTTGGGTGTCCCACACAAGACAGCTGGCAGGGCTTAGTTTTCACATAGTGAGTGCTAAAAATGAGGCTTTTATGGGTATATTAAAAGTTATCCACTCAAGGCAATGGTTACTTTGCCAGTCTTCGGTCCCTAATAATAGTATCATGTAAAGCTAAGTCGATTGTTTCTTGCTAGTATTTATTTTGGAGCCATTCAATTTAAAAAATGGTAGATTAATACCAGCTTCATTTAATCAAGTAAAATTACTGAGCAGAGCCTCTGCTCTGCTTTCTATATACCACACCCATTCCTCCTTCTGAAAGAAAAAAGACAGTCTTTCCCTGTATGCCTCATTTCAGTAAGCTTTCTCCTGTGCAGTTGATAATGCTGATGAAGACATGTTAGTGATCTTGTTTAATGCATTTATTTTAACAGACAAATTTTGGTACTGTCGACTTTCACCCAATCACAAGGTCTTGCACTACGGAGACTTGGAAGAAAGTCCACAGGGAGAAGTCCCACATGATTCCTTGCAAGATAAATGTAAGTCATGCGCAAAGATTGCATTAGTTTTGCTTCTTCTTGCTAGTTCCTCTTTATAACTTGTAGTAGGTTTCTTTTAACACAGATGATTATCAGCAGATACCGAGCAGAGGACATTTCCTGAAGCATTCAAATGGTGCTCTTTGGTTTTGGCAACTGCGTGTGAGGACTGAGCTCAGCTTTCCAATAAGTTTGTAATTTCTTTCAGCTTGGAAATGTCATGCATTTCATGGCAAGGAACGCAGTTTTTCATTGCTCATCTGACAGCAGATATCAAATGAAAATATGTGGGCATGTTCAGAATCACTTCTTGTCCACAGAGACAGATGTTTCTTCTGTGGTAAACAGTTATTGGAGGAGAAATCCATGACAGGCAGAGGTCTTTCTCTTATGAGAAGCAGACTTAAAGATGACACATTGCTGTGAACAGTGTTGAGAGGACCTCACCATTACTGTGTGCCCAACTGGGAGGGAAATGCCTCTGTGACAACTCTTACTAGGGAGTTTGTTGGGATGGTTTTATGGATAAAAGTAATTTTGGAGCCTGTCAAAAAAATTATACTCTCATGATAATTTCTCGTTTGTCCTTAAACATGAGTTGTAGAAGTTTAACCTGCAGTCCTGGTAAAGTTTTCTATGATAACAGGAATAATGACCACTGTATTTCTGTCACCAGAAAGTTATTTCAAGAAATCAAGCACTAAATAAGGAATCATTTCTTTTTGTTCTTCTCTGAACCTCCATTAGTAATAAATGACATTCTTGACATTATCGGATTAGACGTTCTTGTACAAGTATTTTAGTTGTTAGCTCCACTTCTTTCATGGCATAGCAGAAGGACTAATTTGGCAGAAGTTGGACATCTTTCTAGCCTGAAAATAGAGAAAGGAGAAAAGCTGGTGATTTGAACTTTCCTGTATATTAGTAAAACAATGAATTGTTTCTCTTTGCTGTTCCCCCAACATGTCTCCAGGCAGCACTTTTTTGAAAATTTCTACGTGGTCCCAGCCTCAGCCTTTCTGCTGCTGGAGCCCTGGCAGCTCACAGTCACGTTCCCTTGTTTTTCATTGTCTTACAGATTGCCTCAAGGATGTTTGACACTCTTGCTGCAGTCTTGGCAGAATGTAGGACAGGGGCTCACGTTGCTGTGTTGGTACTTGGAAGGGGCTGCTTTTTTGCATGAGACTTAGATAAACAGCCCTTGAATGTTACAGCAGTGTCAGAATGATGGAAGAATGAAGGTCGCCCTTGAGCTGCAGGCATAGTTATGAGACCAGCAGTTCCCAGATTTGTTTGCTTTGGGCACGCTTCCACTCAAAGCCCTGACCCTGTCTGTGAGCTTCATCTGCATTTTCATTTTCCATAGGCTCTTGTGCCTACTTGGGAATGTCAGGATCCCACAGGGACAGAGGGCTCTGACTTTAGAAATCACTGGGACGGATCCACGTGTTCCCCATGCATACCTGCTGGCAGAGCAGACACTGATGCAGTTTGGGAGAGATACGGTTATTTCATCAATATCTTAGTTTTTCAGCATAAGAAGGGTGCAGGTTTTACCACCCACATTAGAGTTTAATTAAACAAACTTGAGAATATCACAAGACTCTAGGTTATGAAGTGGCACTGTTGTTGGAAGCATGTCAGGCCAAACTGTCTTGGGAGTCTTACAGAATATTTTTCAGAAATATTCTGATGTTCTTTGTATAGAATCATATTGAATTTTGAACTATTAAGGTCTGAATACAATGACCAGATTGCCAACATTTGAGAGCAGGTCAAGAGATAAAAGAGAGTAGGTGGGTAAGAAAATCAAGGACCAAGAGAGGTGACGTAGGGCATTTTGCATACTCTGTCAATTTGAATAACTCATGTCTATCTCTGAAAATAAATGGCGGAGGTTTAACCTTTTTGCTTCTGTGAATGTCACCTCTCTTCAGGCTGACAGAGTTAACAAACTGTGCAGGCTCCAGCTGGGACAGAGAACAGCTTTCTCAGTGCTTTGTCTGTTGTGAGCACATCACATCTGTGCTCACACCCTCCAGCATCTTGTAGTCAGCTTCTGATACCCTCTGAAGTCTTTTGATTTTATTTTTTCGAAGCGTTCCAGATAAATAAAGATCAGGATGTCGCATCAATCTGTGATCTCTCATAGTAACTGCATTCCAGATCACAGAGATCAAGCATATGAAACCTGGAGAAAAGCCTAACCTGAAAAAAAACAACCTTATGCAAGCAGAGAAACTGTTTTTCTGGGCATCTTTAGCAAATCGCAGGAACTCTGTCTTCTTAAGAAGATGTTTCTGCCGTGCTTGCAGTCAATTTTATTTACTTCCCGGTTTGTTCCAGTTCACTCTCTTCTCTCAGTATCTTTACTTGACCAAAAAGTAGGGTTGTGCCAGAGACATAAAAAGCCAGCAACGCCACAGCACGGAATGCTGAGACTAAAGGCAGGAGTGGTTGAATAGTGAAGGGCCAAATAACTTCCATTTCTTTTCATTTTCCATGCAAAGAAAGACCTTTTAAAGTGTTTATTATAGCCCATGTTATCCATTTGACCATAGTGCAGAGGTAATCTATAATAAAATACATAGTGCTCCTGGAAGAGAAAATGCATTTCTCCCCTTCAGTGTTTCCATTAAGAGTTTGTAAAGAACAGGACAGTAACAGATTTTCGTACTATTATGCTGTTCTATATATGTGATGCTTTTCTGCAGCCAAAAGGATAATGAATTATTTACAGATTGTAGAAACTGTCACTCTCTGACTGTATTGTATTATGGAATGTATAGATTCTCCATAATGCAATTACTGTTGAAAAATTGACTTGCACTTGAAACTCAGAGAAATTTATGTTTTAGTGAGCTCACTCTATCAGTGGCCTGAGTGGCAGCAGCTTCGAGGTTTTTTTTCTTACTTTTTTTTTTTCCCCAGTGATTTCTGATCCTTTCACATTTTAAAGCACTTGGAATGGGTCATTATAAGCCTTAGTAGTCCTTATTCCTGTTAGTACCAGAAAGCAAAAAAATTGCTGACGGGAGTGACATAAAAAATGTTTGAAAAATTCATGCAGGTGTTAACAGGAGGACAACAGCATCGAGGTACGGTTCAACTTACTCAGCAGCCTCTCTCCAGCAGAGACGTTACCTGAATGCCTAGGAAAGAGCAGCAACAGGGCAGGCATAGTACATTAATAAGGCAGAAAACAGTATATATTTTCTAGATACAGAAGGACACAAAAACTGTCCAGACATGGGTACATATCTATATGAAACACTCTTACCCAAAGTAGTCTCCAGAGGTTTTTATGCAGATGACTGAAATTTTGTCAAGACTCACCAGTTTCTGTTTTGGTTGTTTTCTTCCAGTTTTCTTTCTTACAGCAGCCTGGAAACGGCAAGAGGTGGCAATTTTAATGCATTAGTCTTGCCTCTTTTTTAGACTGTCGCTTTTGCACACCTTAGTTAAAATTAATTTTCTGGTTTGTGCTTTTGTTTCTTTTTAATACAGTGCCAGTGGCAGATATAAAAGCTGTTGTGACTGGCAAAGACTGCCCTCACATGAAGGAGAAAGGAGCTCTTAAACAAAACAAGGTATGGTTCTCAAATTGTTACGAACAAACACCCTGTGGAACACAAAGCTTGTCAACTCGACCTTCCCCGAGCTAATACCAGCATTTTTCATTCGAGCCTGCCACCTTTCTGTGTGTGCACACATGCTCTGTTTTCACCTCAGACTATTTGAGTTGAATTATTGGGACAACCTACTATCCTGTACTCAGATTTCAGTATTTAGTAGTGAAGTCTTCTGCCTCTAAAGCAAAGCAGTTTTGACTGCTGCCACGGAGCAGACCAGCAACGACTGTTGGTACCTGCTCCGATGAATAACTACTTTGTTCCAGCTGTATGCTCTGATGAGTTCACATTTGGTGAACACTGGCACATGCCAGAATTGCAATTAATATCCAGCTGATGACACTTTCAGGTCCAGTCAGGTAGAAAAATAACTGCCAGCAAAAGGATGTCAGGGGTAAATACTGGGCAATTAAGGAGGTATAAAGGGTGTGTGCAGCAGGGCATTTGGGAAAAAATATGTAGGAGACAGTAGTCAGCTTAAATTTGATTTATGCTATCTGTCAGAGTTTCAGCTCAAGAACTGTAAACTGACAGTAGGACTCAAACTGTATAGTGCCAGAACCTTGTAGAGCTTTCATTAGAAAGAATTGCCACCGCAGCAAGATGAAATTGAGCTGCTAGCAAAGTCTGACATCTTTAGTGGTGAAGGTGTTCATACCATATTGTATGAGGCATGTTCGTAAGTTTTTTGTCAGATCATACTGTCTGAACTTATGAGAAAGAGCAAAGCTCTAACGATGTTCAGGCTGACCTAGAACCACGCCTGGAGGTCTGCGAACCAGACCAGAAGATTTGAATCAGAATTTCTAGTTACCTGAAACTGAGCAATTTGGGAACTGACAAGAAAGATATTTTGGTGGACAAAATAGTGAAGTTAAGAGTTCCTGCTTCAATGCTTTAAAAATAAAATGCCTGCATTTAGTGTTGTCGCGGGTTAGGGCTGGCTGGCCACTAAATGCAGACAGATGCTCTCTAACCCCCTCTTCCCCCCCAAAACGAGAAGGAAAAGGGAATGAGGCAGAGAGACTTATGGGTTAGAAAATAAAAAGTAAAACAGCTTTAATGAAACAATAATGGAAATAATAGTGAAATGATAAAAATAAACTATATACAACTAAAGATAGTATCTCAATATCAAACCTGACTCCCTCCCCCGATATCAATCCCCACTGATGCTGCAGAGCAGGAGGCACTGGGGCAGCCCCAGGCTCAGCAGCGGCAGGAGCTGGATACAGGGAGCTGGATTCGAGTCCTCAGGATCCGGATCAAAAGCAGGAGATCGGAAAGAGTCCTCTGTGGACACCGGCCATTGCAGGAAAAGAAAGGACAGAAACTCTCATGATCACTTAATTTATACTAAATATGATGTAGATAGAATGGAATACTCTTGTTGGTCACCTGTCCTGTTTGCTACCCCCCCGGCCTTTCTGCATCCCAGTCCTAGGCAGTAACTGCAAACATGAGGTGTTATCACTGCCAGTAGCACACACTGTCTGCAAAAACATGCTGCTAACTTCAGAAAGTGCAGCCTTTTAGAAGAGACTAAACTGGAAAGTAAAAATCACTAAACAGAAAACCAGGACAAGTGTTCAAATAAATGCTGGAAAAAACGGGTCTGATGGAAACCATAGAATATGAAAAGGCACTGTTAAAACTACATCTTCATAGCTGCAACTTTAATTTCCTTAACTATACACAGATACACAGAGCATCTCGAGTGTTCTTTGCACTTTTTTCTCATACACAGGAGTTGCTCTAAGTCTATCAGGATGCCATCATCTCCTTGCAGTGTTAACTTAACATGGTTGGAAACGAAGCAGTCAAGCCAAGCGAGTTAAAAAAGAATCCCGGCAGTATTTTTGCCTGTCGATTTTCTGAATCGGAGGCTAAGACAGACATGCACACAATAGATTGCGTACAACTCCTACCTTATCTTACAGCTGAACCAGCCACAGCATTTGGCTGGGGCATTTATATGTTGCATATAAAGTATTTTTAGTCCTTCCTTGTCTTAGCACTCATATGTCCGCACAAAAAGGAGAGATAAGAAGACGGAAAGTGGTGGGTGTCAGTGATGGAAATGTGTCATCTTTATGGAGCAGTGATGTATTTAATGCTAAATAGCAAAGCTGCAGATCGGTTTGTCCTCAGTTGTCAGCCTTGCCCCATTTCCTCACTTAAAATTGCTTTGGACTGGCATAAAACTTCTGACTGGGGATGTGAAGAACAGGAGTTGATAGGTAGCATGGCTGCATGCCCGGCTGGGGCATTCCATTCGTGAGCCAGGCAATAATAATTTTGATGCATTTACAGTTTCTGGTGTGATGTTTTTGATGGTGTGGCCTTTTTTTTTTTTTGTTTCCTCAGTTCCTTGTTTTTCTTCCCCTGAGAATTACAGAATTTGTGAAATTAGTTGTCATCCCAATCAAAATGTCATGTACAGTATTGCAGCTTCTTAAACAACATCATAGGAATAACATGTTGTTTGCAGAGTACCAGGTTAATGTGGACAATGGAATGAAAATTAAAAAAAATATATAAAAAAAAAAGCCAGACACAGCTGACTTTGGTGTATGAAACCTTTCGCTTCCTGAAATCTCATGATTGGTGATGTGGTTTTTTAAGAGGCCTTTTCCTCCTGTGCTTTCTTTCCACATATATAATGACCACATTGATGTTTATTCATTGTCAGAAAAGAAAATTGGGTGGCAGAATGCCACTGTTATGAATGTAGCTGGAATTGGCAGAATGTCCGTAACAAAGGCTTCAGCACATGGCCGTTATTCTTCCAGTGGGACCATTTAGAAATAAATAAGAGTTAAAGTGAATTGGCTTTTGCATGCATATGAAGCTGGAATGACTTGATAGGACCAGACCTGAATTCATTGTTGTTCACCTTGCTTGTGATTTTAAATTAAGTTTCATTTCAAAGTCTTATTTCTGACTCTAGAGTAATATTAATGAATTTAAAGGAAATTATTTTTGCAACCTTCAGAAGAAATCATGAAAGAAGAACTTGGAAGAAACATTGCCATGTATTTCTTAGTGTTCCTCTATCACTCTTTATTTGCTGATGTGTCAGGCTTCAGGCTTGATACCTCTTTAGTCAGCAGAAGTGGTTCTTCTCACTCCCCTCTTCTCCTGCAACTTTTCTTTTATTTCACACTGGTTGAACAAGTTCCCTGCTGCTGCATGTACAGATAGTTCTGTGTGAGGAAATCTTCTGGCTCTGGCAAGCAAATTTAACATGGCTGTGGTCTTAATCTTCAGCAACAAACGGGAATGACCAAACCCATGGCCTCCTGGGATATTCCTCTTTCAGGCAGGGATTTTTCTCTCCTTTTCCTTTCTTTGAGATGAACAAAATCTTCAATCCCTCAGGATTTCCCAAAGGACAAATATTCAGGGGCCAGGCCTGTGGGATTTTTTTTGACCTTCATGAATCTCAGGAACATTGCAGTACAACAGTACGAGCCCTTTTTGCAATGATAGGTTTTATTTCACAACCTCGGTTGCATGCCTTGACGCGTTCCGTCAGTCATTTCTAACGCTCCATGAGGAGATAATGCCAGGTTTGTGTGGGCAGAGGTAAATTTGTTTCTGTAATGAAGGGCATCACTCTTAATAGGGTGTGGTTGAGAGACATGCCTAAAACATAGAGAGGCTCACTGAGCCGTTTGTATGCGGAGTGTACCAGCATTATTGGTATCTGCAGCTTCCATGGGGATTTAGCATAGTCTTGTCTCCTGTGCCCTGGCAATACAGCAAGTTGGACCTTATAATTAGATTTGAGGACATAAAGAGCATTTCCCATGAGAAGCCTGATCTCTGATCATCCAAGGCGATTCTGTGATTGCGACTCGCCAATTAATTCCTTGTCCAGCCAACAGTCTACCCATCAAATCCATATCTCTCAAACTTAAAGAGAAGGATGTTGTGGGGCAAGAGGAAATGGCCTTGAGTTGTGCCAGGGGAGGTTTAGATTGGATATTAGGAAAAGAGTTTTACTGAACAGATTGATAAGTACTGTAACAGGCTGCCCAGGGAAGTGGAGTCACCATCCCTGGAGGTATTTAAAAGATATGTAGATGTGATGCTCAGGGAAATGGTTTAGTGGTGAGCCTGGCATCACTAGGTTAACAGTTGGACTCTGATCTTAAAGGTCTTTCCCAACCAAAACAATTCTAAGGTTATCCCGAAGGATTGCAAATTTTATGATTCTGCTCTTAGCCACGTAAGTTGAAAAGTGAAATAACCCTTACTGAAACCCAAAGGCCTATGTCTGTGTCAGACCACAGTAGGGGTAGAAATCTAGAGAATCCATTCAATTCTTCCATTTTAAACCAAAGTGTAGCAAATTTAAGAAGCAGAGCTTTTGTCACTCCTGGCAGCTGTAAGTCAGCAAAGGCGGTCGGTATTAAGGGGCTCAGGAAGCCAAGAGGCAAAAAGAACAGGACATAGGATATAGATCATAGTTACAAGTCAGCACTCTCCTCTGTAACCGAGTCTTTTTTTCCACAGAATTATTATATCCGTATCAGCTAATTTACAAGTTGTGAAATCCTTGTAAGAGCACTTGTAGTGATGTGTGCAGTAACCGTGATAACATCTTCACGTGTTCACTGCTGGCCACTGGAAGTTCATTATTTATTCCAGTTGGTTGAGTTTCCCCATAGGAACCCAGCTCCACATGACTTTTAGGGAAGGTCAGTGCGGGGTGAATTCACTTTGACACCTTGGATATTCCAGCTTCACTGCTGAGGGGGAAAAAAGATGATCGGTGTTTTCCTTTCACAAGATTCGTTTGGGTCTTTAAGCTACCCGGATATTTCCATTTGACTGAGGCTGCTGATTCTGGCTCAGGTAGAGACAAAGTGACAGAAATCTCTCGAGAATGAATAATTTAAGAGATTTCCAGCAGTGAAAAGAGCATAAGTATATAGCAGGAGATTAACCATCCTGGCAAGATTTTTGACACGTGGAATCAAACTCTACAGAACTTCGCGAGTTTAATCTATACAAGCCGAAAAAAATGTGAGTCTTCCTGAAGAGTTTGTTGCAAGTGTCCTGTTATGCATTATATTGATTTTAGTCCTCACCATTGCCTAGCTCAAATTTAAACTCAAACGCTGAAATAATCTGTGACTGAGTGATGTACAGTCAGCACTGAGGAGGGTAAGTTTGTTCTGACTGTACATCCCTGGTGGGGTTCCTGCAGTGCCAGTCTGTTGCAGTGGTCTGCTACTGCTGCAGCTTTGACCAGGCAGGAGAGTGCCATAACCTATTTTTTTGCCACTTGTTTTGGGGAATAAGTGGTAGGAAAGACAGACAGACATAAATGTATGAATGCCTTTCCCATGCAGCACTAATATGTGTTTCTCTGTATTGTTCCAGGAGGTGCTAGAGCTTGCTTTCTCTATATTATATGACTCAAGTGGCCAGTTGAATTTCATCGCTCCAGACAAGCACGAGGTAAGTCAAGTTCAGAGTACAGAAACTTCTTTGGTGCCCTCTTAGTTGCTTAATGGCAGCAGCTGGCTTTATAAGAACATGAGTATGGTCATCTTGGCACAGAGTGCAGGTCCAGTAAACCTCTGTCGTGTCTCACAATAAACTGAAAGCAGAGGGGTTAGTGTGGAAGCAATACCTTCTGCAATTTCTATACATACCCAGAGCCATGGAAGGAACACATTTTGTATCTGTATGTCATAGAGCACATGGGAGTCCAAGTTCAAGATCAGTATTTCTAAGCCCTAGCGAAATACGAAGCGTAAGTTGTGCGCTTAGTGGTATCACATTTTCTCTCAGTTCAGGGCACTGTGTTAAGATGATGAAACACAGAAGATTCCATTAAGCTGCATTATGCTGTAGTATTATGAAAGTGCATGAAATTGCATTACAAGTGAAGTGTATTCAGTTACTCAGCATCAACATTTGCAATTCTGGATTAAAACCTTCAAATAAATGTTAATTTTAGGAGAGGAAGATAAGTTATGCTTATTTGGGTTTTCTTGGGGATTAAGTGTCATTTTCATGTACGTTCATTCCAGAGAAATATTTTCTGGTCAGTTTTGATCTAAGAGAAAGTAGCAGTAGAATCCCAGGTATAATGTAGGTGATCATCTTCATCCTCTGAACTGACATATGTTAGATATTTTCTGATATAAACTCTCCAGAAACTGAATTCTAGTTTTTTCAGCTCGTAAGAGCAAATGGTCATGAAAATTGACATTTTCTATATCTCAAATATGGCCCATGGCTACAAGTGTATTTTAATGGTCTGAAATGTCAAAAACTGCTGCTGTACCCAACTAGCAGACAGTAGCGTTGTGAGGCACACCGACCCAATGGCTCATTATTGTGTTAACACACCTATTAACCTTATTTTTCTTTTTGATCTTACGCAGCTTCTTTGAAACAAATTAATAAGTTCAAAAAAACAGCTGGAGGCAGCAGTCTCTGCTGCTATTTGACAGTTCCCAAGTGAATGTTTCAAAAGGGCATCTCACTTCTGTACTTTTCCATGGCCTAGAGAAGAGTGAGTTCTAATTAAAACAAAAAGCACAAGTGTTTGCAAGGAAAGGCAAGGAACATGTTATGAAGCCCATGACTTTTTATCCAAGTAACTGGAGCGCTTGTCAACAGAAGCACCAGCTTGGCAGCGTTGTCAGCTTGGGAGATTTGGTGGGTGACATCTCAAGGTTTGGAAAGCTTTGTGGGAAGCACCAGAAACGATGTTAGTACATGACAATTTCAGGTCAGATTTACAGGTGATTTTTTTCAAGTACTTCAACAGTCCGCGTGAGCATAGAGCGAGGTTTGAATGTGGGAACTGAGTGTGTCCTAAAACCAAAAATTGAATTAGTGTTACCGGGTGATTCAGGTTGTAAAGGACCTTGGGCGTCTCCCCAGTTGGATCTGCTCAAAGCAGTGAGGAGCTCAGACCGGGTTGCTTGGGGCTGCATCCAGATGGATGGACCCTGAACAGCCTTCCTGCTTGTCTGGTTCAGCTGACGACTCCCAAGGTATTTCTTTAATAAAATCTTGTTACTGAATCAATATCATTGAGATTTGAACCTCATTCTTGCACACCAAAGTCTGGCAATACGCTGAGCCATCTATTGGAGCTGACTGCTAGCCAGAGGATTCAGCACTGTGAGATCAGCCCATTCTATTTGTTTTTCATTTGAATACTAATAGCTGGTTTCACCTACATAGCAAAAAGGTGGATTAATCTTATCCTTGATTTTTGACAGAGGAACTGATGAGGGAGGCTATAATTAGGTTTCATTGGAGTTTTATGAAAATGAATCTGTAGTAAATTAATTTTTCAGTAGCTCTTAGTCTGTTTCGCATATTAAAAAGGAAAAAAAGCTTCTGAATGAAGGCCTTTGTTTTTCTGCTGTCTCCTTAGGATTTCTCTCTGCTCAAGATGCACAGGGCTTTAATTAGATGCACTTGCCAATGCAGAGATTAGAGAGGAAGCCCCTTTTCCAGGCCACTGCACTCATCTGAATTGTGGCCAGTGTTTGGTTTCTGTGAGCCCTGAATGAGTTATATCTGGAAGAGAACTGCAGTTCTGCTTTCTGGTGCACTGGGATCCCTCCCCAGATAAAGCTCTGGCCATACTCTCTGAGAAGGTGATGGACGATTTACATCTGGGGCTGCATCTGCTGAATGGATCCTCTGCACTTCTGTAACCTGAGCAGAGTCTTTTGCCTTCCTGTTCCTTTCCTCACAGCGAATTCTGGGAGCACTTTCCCCAAGAAATATTTCAACTCGCTCGTAAAAAAAATCAGAGTCTGTCCAAAAATAATTCAATTTCTAGTATGAATTCTTCCTGATGCTCTGCGTAAATTCACAAGAACTGCATGCTTTAAAAGTCTTCAGTGACACAGTTTGACAGTCTGGAATAGGCAGGCTAAGTTGCTTATTTAGTACTTATTAGCAGGACAGCCTGAACCCTAAATTCTCTTCTATACAGCTAATCTCATATTAAAGCTGCATCTTGGCTTACTGACACCCTGGGTGAAATCCCAGCTCAGCCACTGTTTTTTTACTGACTTAAATGGGTCAGATTTCACTTTGGATGTTGAAATGTGCTAACCATCCGGGTTTAAAAATATTCCTTTTTTTTCTGGATGAAGATATACCCCAAGAGGGGTTTTGCTCTCTCTTCCTTAAAAATAATCCTCATTTCTGCTGTGGGATGAAGCCAACCATGGCTATCTTTAAACTTGGTGGTATCATGTGGCAAATGGTCAGCTAAATTTAAAATCCATCTTTTGGCATGAAATCCAGCAGAAGTATTTTTAAGATAAAAATGCAGTTATGGTTGATTTAATTTTCTTCTGCAAGCTAGGACACAAGTTCATGATTGAAATCTTTACTTTTAGATGTTAGCATTTGAATACTTCTGGTCGTAGTTGAATAAACAGCTTGTAGTTACAAATTGGAAGTGACATATTTTATAGAAGTAGACTCTAGACCACCAATCTCCCTTCCTTGTGCTTGTTGCTTATTTAAAATGGTTATTCAGCCCATGTTTATCACAAGCTGTCAGCTGTTGGGAAGGATGGCATCTCCTGTTCGGGAAAAAGCTAACAGTAAGGAAGAGGTTTTAGAGGTCAGCTCAGCATTTGCAGCATGTAGCATTACACCAAGTAGCTTGGCATTTAATTTTTGTGAAGGACACAGCATTGACTGACTCCATAGTTTTCACAATATGCTATTTTATGCAAAACGGATAAAGTAGGCATAGATACGTGAGACCCAGTCTTTGGGTGGGTCAACTGATACCACTGGAAAGCAAACCGTAATAAACGTAGATAGACAGTACAGGATTTCTTACGCGAGGGGTTGAGAAGGATTTTTTGGGGGCAATTCAGGGAAGGATTCTGGGTGGGATTCCGTTCCCTTCACATAGTTGTCTTGGAATTAAAAGTTTGGTGTAAGATAATCAGGCTTTTTCTGTAAGTACTGAGGAAAGAGAAAGAGAGGGAGAGAAGGAGGTATCTCCAGAGACTAGTTGTCCCAGGCTAGGCATTGTTCTTTCTCCTGTAACTACTTCAGAATATTCAAGAAGAAGTCTGGAGGAAGTAGCAAATTGACATAAAACTAAATACTGTAATTTTTTTCCCATTTTGGGGGAATTGGTTTTCCATTTTCTGAGCAGCTTGGAACATACCTTCTTCATGATAAGAGCTAATAAAATCAATCAACCTTGTATTAGGTCTCTTTTTAAGTCCCTGTGGGAGCAATAACTGTAGAGGACCAGACCAGACAAGCGGTTTTTGTACAGAAAGTCAGTTAATGATAGTTTTTATTTTATTTCTGTGCAGTACTGTGTATGGACCGATGGGCTGAACGCCCTCCTCGGGAAGGATATGTTGAGTGATCTAACGCGGAATGACTTAGACACGCTGCTCAGCATGGAGATAAAGCTGCGCCTCCTCGACTTGGAAAACATACAGATCCCAGATGCTCCCCCGCCTATCCCAAAGGAACCCAGCAACTACGACTTTGTTTATGACTGTAACTGAGGCCGCCACTGAAACTCGCTTTGAAACTGGAAATAATAAAACTGGAGAGATATTATAGAAAAAAAAAAAAGAGAGAGAAGAGTGTGAGGAAAAAAACAAACCCACTTGTGCACCTTGGATTTCGGCTTTGGAGAGGGGTGTAGAAACACTTGCATTCCTCCCTGGTCCCTGCATCCCTCCCTTCCCCATTCTCATCTTCCCCATCGCTCATCCAAATCCACATTGATTTAATTAATTTGTCATTGCAGGCCCTTGGCCTTGCTTAAGGCAAAGACTGCCACTAAGAAGCACCCTCTCAAGGACTTTTTTTACATTTTTAATACTGGAATAGACATTCTTAACTAAAAGACGTTGTGATCAAACTGCATGCCTGTGAAACCCACTTGGCAGGGCAGAGGCTTTAACTGGAAGGAGGAGGGAGGTGGGGGAACTGGAGCAGCTACTGTAAGCAAGACGACTTCCCCGGTAACGACTTCCCCCAGTACTCCCAAGAGTCTGCTCACAACTGAACCCAACACGATGACGAAAATCATTCACTGCTTCCCAGTGCTTGCACCATTCACCACCGTCATTATTCTTCCCACTGCCATCTCGACTCTTGCCACCAGCATTCACCCAGCTGATCGCCTCCCAGAATGGAAAAGTCTGCAGGTTTTTGCTGTACCATAACGCTGTGACAGCTTGTAACTTCTTTTCCTTCCACCTCTTAAATAGCCCCACACTAGCAGATCACTGGCACAAACTGTGTATGAAGCCACAAGTATGTCCTGTCCCTGTAGAGTTCCCTGAGCCTCAGTTCCCTATAAAATTGGCTTGTTGCTATTCAAAGTGATTTTGATTTAACTCGTCCAAAGCTCAACAGCAATTTCCACAAATTAATTACAACTGCCAAACATCCAGGTTTACATCGTTGTCATTGCTACAGTGTTAGAGATTTGCAAGGGATTTTTTTTTGTACGGGTTCTAATTTTTTTATTTTATTTTGCCAAACAGATATATTTAATGAAAACTAATTTCATTGTGAGTACTTTTGGGGGAGAATATTTTTACTTAATTTCCATTCAGAACATTTGCCCTGAAAGGGAAAAAATAATATTTCCCTTCAACTTCACTGTTGAATAAAACCCTGAGTTGTGATGATTGTTGGAATTGTGTTTTTCTTCTGAAGTTACTTTTTATTCTCTATGCTTCCTAGCAATTCTGAGGTGTTTGGTACAAAGAGGAGAGGGAAAGGTGGAACCTTGTTTTTTCTGCATCTGATTTGACTTTCTTGTTTGTGGTGACAAGGATGAGATGCATCCAGAGGTATCCATTGCCATGGGTACGTGAGCCTTCCTGTGAGATGGACCTTTGTGAAATCTGAAATCACAGCCTACTGATGGGCTTGTGGTCACTTCAAGGCTGCTGCCTTTGCTGGAGTAACTGTTCTCCTGTATTTCCATTCCCTCCATTGAGAGTGTTTCTGGCTGCAGCAGGTTGGTACTGGGGAAGTTTGCAGGGTGGATTCCCTCCTTCCACAGGTTCTTCTAGGTATTTCGCTTATCTCTTTTTCCGAAAATGCTGAGTCTAGATCTAAGGAACCCACCAGCCCTTTCCCTCCACCACAGAGGCTGAAGACAGATGTTTATTTGTGTGAGTTCCTCTCCTACTCAGCCCCAGCTGAAAAAGACTGTGACAGGGTTTTATCGAAGAGATAGGGAGAAACCTAGAGGGTGGTTCCACATTAGACAGACACAGAAGACCTCAGCTGAGGTGACCTTTGCTCCATCCAGCCCGCTCTGGGGTAAATATCCTGACTGAGCCCCCCATGCCAGGTGAGGAGAGAAATGACATCCTGAAGGTACAGTGAAAAGGAGGATGAGGAGAACATTGCATGAATTCGAGCATGAGGTTCCTAAGGAATGTGCCTTCCTGAAGCTGTGTTTGCAGTATTTCATGAATGCCTTGACCTAATAAGCTGGTTTAGTTGACCTAATAAGTTAGTTTAGATGGTAATGGATGGTAAATTAAGGAAAAAAGACACTTTTGAGTTAAACGCTCGAGTAGGAAGTTACAGTGAGCTGTGGCCTGAGACAAGATGCAGTCTGAATGAGAACAGGGATGTGCAACGAGATGTGAGAGTTTGAGGTGTTTTACTCTCTCCAGACCCTTGTCAGACTATAGGTGGTAAGGGTCAAGAACGAGTGGAAGCAAAAGCACTGCCTGCCACAGGGAATTTTGGAGGATTCTGTGGTTGGGGGATGGAGGTAGAAACACATTTCTTTACGAGACACTGATGCTGTCTCTCGGCTGCATGAAGACAAAACTCAAGAACTGGAGAAGAGAATCAAAGTTGTATTAATCTCCCTGACCCAACTGGATGGCTCAGCTGTGCATAACCTTTGCTTTTTTATTTACAGACAGATGCTTCAGGTGAGTTTTGCTCATTGAAAGAAACACCTTTCACTCCTAAGCAATAAGAGCCAAACACTGCCGGATCAGTGTCAATCCGACACCAGCGCCTTGGCAGGTTGGCACCAGTGTGACAATCAGAAAAAGGAGCAAATGAAATCCCTCCTCTGGGAGACAGCTCCAGCAGGAGGGAAAGCTTGGGCTTGCCTCCCCTGCTAAGGTGAGAGCCCCAAAACTGCACACCGAGAGCCCTGGGGAGGTGGTGGGAGAAGAGCTGGCAACTTCATCTCTTTGTGTGGCCCAAGAATCCATACAAATCCAGCATGCAGTTCCTAGAGCTGTCATACAGGCTCACTTCACCATCATGGAATTAAAAAAAAAAAAAAAAGTTTAGCAATGAACAAGTATCCTTCTGCTTCCCATTCATTTAAAAAAAAATAATGAAAATGAAAATGGCAAATTCATTTGTTCATGCTGTTGTGTATTCTGGAAAAGCTTTTAAGGCTTCACATTCAAGGAGCTGCAGCAGGGAAAAAAAAAGCTATTGAAGTTTCTTGTATAATTTCAAAACATTAAGTGGGTAATTGCTTGTAAAAGCCATAAAGAGGAGAGAGAACAACAAAAAAAAATCAGTCTAATTTTAGCTCCTGCTTTTGAAATGACTTTGCTTTTGAAAGGGAATATATTCTTTTACCAGAAGACTTGAATCAAGAAAAATATGTCTCTTCTTAAGTCAACTGCCTGCCCTGCTTGTAAGGACAAGAAGAGGAGCAATGTTAGGTAATCCTGCACAGAAGCAAACTACATGTCAGAAGAAGAGCTTGCACTCTCTGGGCTCTCATTACCATTTTTCGGAAACAATTCCTTTTTTTCATTATGCAGAACTCTCTTATCAAACCTTACAACTTGCAGGGAAAAAATAATGTGCTCTTGCAAAAAGGCAAGTAGGTGATGACTCTCTTTTGGGTTGCAAAATGACTACCCAAGATCCTGATTGCTTGCAAAATCCTCTCCTGTCTTCATGTCCCACCAAAGATTACATTTTGCTCCCTCAGGGTGCTTGTCACTGACGTTTCTCTCCCATCAGTTGTCCACAGTGATGCAGGGATGTATGGGAATCACAGAATCATAGATTGCATTGAGTTGGAAGGGACCTTTAAAGGTCATCTAGTCCAACCCCCAAGGATGGACTGGGGGTCGAAGGCTTTTGAGTAAATCTGGTGGTATCCACTGCCCAGAACATATGACCCTGTAGCCCCCCAGCTGCCATCACACAGGCACTGGCCCCTAAACAGGTCCTAAAAGAGGCGTGAATGAAAAGGAGGAGGACAAAAATCCCCTCCTGGCAGGGGAGGATGGAGAGGCTGCAATGATCAGAGGTGGCTCTGGTGCGTCCAGTGCCACAGTGGTGCAAGCTGTTACTTCAGAACAATAACCAGCAACAGGAGATGTAAGGAGTGGGAGCACACTCTTGTTAACTGCCGTTATCTCCTCCTTTCTCTCTTCTGCTGCTGCTGCACTGACAAGTAAATGCCATTAGCTTCATGGTTGTGTGAAAGTCATTCATCTACAGTGTAATAAGATGAATGTGAGGTTTTACCCCCTTCTTGTATCATTCTTCCTGAGAATTTAAAAAAAAAAAAAAAAAGAAAAGTAAATCTAGTTCTTAAATCTAGACCTTACTGATCTCAGGATATATTAGCTGTCAGAAGCAAGCCTGGAATACTAAGCACCTGACATAAGAGCCCTTCTCCTCACAGCAGCAGCAAGGAGCTGGAAATGAAAAGAATTTCCCTTCATTCCCTTGATTTAAGTTTGATAAACAGGCACGTAAACTTAGGTGGGTGCTTGTGGACCTACCTGGATCAGGGCCTGGTTGAGCAGAAAGGTAATTTTACCTTTTACTGAATTTTCACTACGTCTCTGGAGGCGACGCAAATACTGACTTTTCTGTCTGATGTGTAATTGGGTTGGGCACCACGGACTACTTCAGGAGACCAAACAAGATGCCACCTGATCATTCAGCGTCACTCCAGCTGCTTCACAGATCATTGGGGCACACACAGAGGTAAACGGATCAAAATGGGAATCCTTTCTGTATGAAATGAGGCTGGAACTTGAGAGGAGAGTTGTGTCAAAAGCACAAGTTTGTTAGGGCAGGACCAGGTGAGAAATGGATGTTGGAAGAGTCAGGAATTTTTATAGCGAGGTGATTTCGAAGCGCTGATTCAGGGAGCACATCCTGCAGCAGCCTCGTGAGGGCAAGGTTAAAAAGAACTGGAGACAGTCGCAAACTCATTTAGCAATGTATTTTTACATTTTATTTTCACTTCTAGCTGGGAGGCCTTGAAGGTCTCTGAAGAGCAGAGCTGGTCTGGTGATGTGCGTGGACACATGTAAGGCAAAGCAATTGTTTCAGTAGCCATCCTTCTCCAAGGGGAGAGGTTGCTGTTGGGAAGTAGAAGAGTTTTCTGAACTGATGTGTTTTTTTCAATTTCTTAGCTTTGCCATAGCTGCATCGCTGGAGGTGCTATGTAGAAAAAGTAGCTGTTGTGGTCTTAGACTCTCTTGGAAAAGCCAAACAAGCCTCCTCATGTCAGGAGGCTCACCCAAACCCTCTCTCTCACCCTGTTTGCCTCTTGTTTGTAGACCATTTCCAGTAAGACGTGACCTATGGGACAGTCACAAAGCTGGAGGACTCAGCACTGCCTTCTCCAAGCAGGATGTTGGCCTTGAGTTTCAGCCCAGGGTAGGTATGGCCACGAGAAATCAATGCAGGCAGAGAAGAGAGACACCTAATATAATTTTTCCAAGGGATGCGGCCAAGGACAGGCTTTCTTTTCCATGATGCTTAAGGATGTGTCTTGAATGACTTTATTTCAGTTGTCATTAGAGGATTTTGCAGCCTGATTGAACACCGCATTTTAAACTCTCCCTTGATGACACCTCGTGAGTCTAATTTTAATCTTGTAGGCAACGTGGCGTTCAGCTTAAATCGATTATATTTTGGAACTCCTCTGGGTTGTTGTGAGGGGGAAGGAAGCTTGGCTGGCTTTTGTTTAATAAAAGGCAGCATTTTTTATGAGGTGTGTCTGTCCTCTCAGTTTCTCCTGAAATGCCTGTGATTTAACATCCCCATGCCACCCACCTCCCCCGAGGGGCAAAGGCACCCCGGAGATCTTTGCCATCCCACCAGTGCAGGTGGGAGGCTAAGCCTGCAGGGCTTCATTCCCTGCCAATTAGGAGGGAGTTTGTTGTGTCGGGGTATTTTTTTGGAGAAGTCAGGAAAAGTACTGTAGGAATCTGCCAGGCTTCAAAACAGACAAGTTTTCCATAAATGCTTAAAATGAGGACACCAGGGATGTGGGCACAGTGCATTGTGTGAGCCATTTCCCAGAGGAAAGTGGCTCATCTGCGGGGTTTTCCCAGGGCACAGCTGCCCCCTCCTTATCCCCAAGCAGCAGAAGCCTGGTACATTCGAAAAGCTTGGAGATGCGAGCAGGGAAACATGTGAAAGGTTCCTCTGCCAGGAGTATGACATTTAAAGAGCGCCAGTAAGATTATTTTGGCTGGTTTTCACCCGCACTGGTCCTTGTGCACATATTGCTTGACTCACGAATATCCTCTGTCAGTCCCTGACCTTTCTCAAAGTCCTGGTTTCCCTTTTCTGTCCCCAGCCCAGGGTGGGTGCAGTGATACCTCACACTGATCCACCATTAATTTCATCGATCCCCCAAAAAAATGCAACCCA